TCCCTCATCCTCACACCAGGTGAGGCACGCTCTCCCTCATCCTCACACCGGGTCAGACTTGCTCTCCCTCTCCAATGCTGTAGGACAAAACAGTAGGAAATTCCCATAACGTCTCACCTCCTTACATGTGAAGAATCCACGGCCATGAATGCTAAGACACCGGGTGTGTGTGTGGCCTGCCGCACAGTAGGCGGACAGCAGTGTGTGCCAAGGCCGCAAAAAAATTACTTTTAGCTCATTTTCGACGTGCAGCCTGTGGATCCGGGTTGCCATTTGCTTTCGCGGAAACGAGGATGCTCCATATCTGGGCCAGGTGACCGAGGCAGTCAAACGGCACAGCTTGCCCCCTCGCTTTAACAGGTCGGAGGACACGATTGTGTTTTACAAGACAAGGCGAGTGGAACCGAAAAGGATCGCAGGGTTACACAAACATGTAAAGATCTGAGCGATCTGCCCTCGTCGCATGGGCGTGCACATGTATGCAATACCGTCCAGAGGCTGGATGTCCGGATAAGGGGGAATTCAGCAACCTCAAAATTTGGCATGATGTTGCATTTACGTGCTTGTACGAGGGCGATAATCGTCCCACGTCGGGCCGTGGATCGTACAGAAGCCGGGGTGGGACACACAACGTCGACTTGGAAGCAATTGGGGCTACTGCATAAATATTGGTATACATTAATGGTTATATAACTGGTAATAAGAGTGCATGGTGATATAAATAAAGGTGGGTCAAGATAGCTTTGCCATGGAATTGCTAGTCTTGCAATTTTTAGGTTATAGCATATCATTCCCATTAGCTACAGACAGGCTAAACAGATTTATCCTTTTAACTGTGCATCGTTTGACTAGTAAAGCTAAATGTAACGCTACGTTATGACACTCAGTCCGTGCAACATTCACCAGCCGTAAGATACCCAGGTCCAGTGCCTGGCTAGCGGTAGGCTAACAATTCAGCTCACCTGAGAGGGAGTTCCAATAACTGTGGGTCCAAAAAAAGCTGAATGGGATGTGTCAAACCTTGCTCGCGTTACGTCCTTTCGGGATTATGGTCGGCAGTTCCAAATTGTCAAGTCCTCCATGAGCAATACAAGACTCGCCCCACGGCGCAAGAAAGCACGTATTTCCTGGTGGAACGCTCTCTAAGATAATTTGGATAAATGACTGACTGGCTAGCTAGCCACCGATACGCTTGACGTTTGTTCAGAAGCGACAGCTAGCTTAATAACGGGTTAGCCAGTGTCAAATGCTACCGAGTTCTTTTTTTTTTTTAACTTATCTTTATCGGCAAGACTCAGTGTGAATGCTGCTCCCCTAAAGGCGAAAGTTAGCAAACAGACAACGAAGTGAAAATAATCCCAAAATGTTGAAAGCAGTCCTCACATCCCGTTACGTTGGTGGCCAAGAGACTCCCTGAGGCCGACATATTTGTCAGTACCACAAAACTAATGCCAGGGTCCAACAGCGCCGCTGTCGTAATGAAAATAACCCTGATTGGACGACAGGGACGTCAATCAAGCTACCAACGTACACGACGGCGTTTACGGGTTAGTCCCGCCCCTCTGGAAATGAACGTCATGACTATTGTAAATCGCTAGTGAATGTTTTTTTTTTTTTTCTCCCAACATTGGAGCACAGTCGTTTGATTTTTAACTGGTTGCCAGCTGATTAAGATTCGCTTGGTTTTGTTTTTATTATTATTAACGTTGTCGTCCCGTAATCCGTCTTTCACACAAGCTCTTTATCCCCTCATGTGACACACTGACACAGTAACGTTCTTGGTTGCGTGCGTGCGTGCGGGCGCGTGCGTTTGTCTGTGGGCGCTGACCCCAACTCCTGCACCCTTTGCGTGCTTATGGGGGGTTATTCTGTGGACATCTGACCATAGCAACAGTATAACCTCTTCCACTGACCCCAACCCAACTCTAACCCTGACACAGGGCGTTAAGCAACCTGCGTCTTTGAAGGGATAAAAACCAACGTGTACCAAATGAGGCCCACTGCACACACACACACACGTTGGCTCAAAGAGAAGATTAAAATGACAGCAGGAGCGGTAAGGATAAGCCCGGACAATCAAGCTTCTCAACACACACACACACACATATACAGAAGCTCGCAAATAAAAAACAAAATCTAAAATCCTACCACCGGCCAAACAAACAGGCGGCTTTAGAGTGCCCTGTGGTCCACGGTGCATGAGTGTGTATTGCGGCATGACTCCATAAAGTCCTTAAACTAAAGGGGCAATCGCGGCATCAAAAAAAAAAAAAAAAAAAAAAAAAAGAAGAAGAAAAACAATGGATGTTTTTGTGATGACCCATTTCCCATGGGAGGCCGCACAAAGAAAGCCGTTCTGTGTTGAGGGCACATCCATATGACACAATCACAAATAATGGGCCATCACCATTAATACAGCCTCAAAACGGCACTTACCACTATTGATGCAGACAGTTATTGGTCCCTAATCACACATCAACTACGTTTGAGTGTTTTCTTTCTTTGTAGTTGTTATTTTCTTAATCTTCCAGGCCTCTTATGATCAATCCCTCTGAATCCAAGTTGTTGGTGTAATGGGTGTCAACATCAATACACCTCAGAGACAATCTAGTCTTTCTTTTTTCTGAAAAGTTCTGAAAGAACAGTCGTTCCAAAATGAATGCCCATGTTGGAAAGTGGGCTGGAAAGAATCACGATCTCTCACTTAACATTCGTCAAGTCCCTCTTTTAAAAAAAAATCCAAACACACTTGATATTGGACACAGTATACTGAACCTTTGAGAGTGGGTTGGTTATCTGGTACCAGGACTTGAACAACTGATCATTTGGGACTTTGAACTCTATGGTGGAGTCTTTGTTGATTGTGTTTGCATCGGATCCCATTTTACTGATATCTGGTGTTAGGGTTAGGGTTAGGGTTAGGGTTAGTAATGTCTCTGTGATTTCAAGAGTCCGAGCAAAACATTCCAATTTAAGGAGTGGTTTGTGTGTTGATCCGTATAAGCAGGGGTGGTCGGTAAGATTAACCTTGCATAGAAATAATAGGATTGTGAAATAATTTGGGAGGAAAGCAGTGGGAAATCTGATCTGAGATGTCTGGAGGACCGGGGTCTCCATTGGTTGCGGTTCATTCCAAACATTTGGAGCTGATCACTCATTTTACATGGAGTGGACTAAAAAGTGTGAGACATTTCTCAGTTTCTGTTTTTAAATGAAGTAATATATTTTATGATTATGGAAATTAATTTGTTTTTCTGAGCTGCATTTCTTTGTGTATTTCACAGTCCTGCAGTGTTTATTTGAATTTAAGAAATGGCTACAAAAGACAGAGTAAGCTGTACTTTAGGTTTTCAGATCACTCTCTCTATACAATATCAGATTTAATTGATCACATTTACGACTTTAGTGTTACCCTAACACAAAAAAACACATAGTTTAAAACACATTGTAGCTCATCCAACTTCAAGCCTTTCTTCCTAAGGTTTTAATTCTGATCAAACTTTAGATGTTCTATGAATTCATCGATGCCTGCATCAGTTTAACAATATCCTAAAATTGTTTTGATGCATATGATCGAATAGAATAAATACATTTGCTGTTACTGTTCTTAAGAATTCAGAAACTGCTGTTTTTTTATTTGATCGGTTGAGAATTACATAGAATTGTGTTCTCCTCCATGGCAGTCATAACCAGGCAAACACTAATATAACAGGATTTTCTGAGCAACCCCATCAACAACAATGTCTAATTACCATGAAAAATGCCCCAAAAAACTCTGTGCAGATGGATCATTTAGAGACCAACCCTTGGGTTGAATGTGAGGATCTGAACAAATGAACGTCTGTGAGAGCCATGTAGAGATAAAAAACTTGTTAAAACGGTCCAGTACGATGTGGCTTTATCATCAATCCATCCATTCAGGATTGGTGACCCAGACATCGCTCTTCATCGCAACAACCTCCAGCTGCTCCTGGGGATCCCTCCCTGTTAGCGGGCCAGTTGGGATAGCCCATAATCCATCGAGTTCTGGGCGTGTTCCAGAACCTCCTCCCGGCAGAAGGTGCCCTCATGTGGCCGTTTTCTCTGACCCCGTCCCTAAGGCCGAGCGCATCCCTCCGCTTAAGGAAACCCAGTCCAGTTGTTCTTTTGGTTACTACCCATGTGACCATAGTTCAGAGTTCAAACAATGACAAAATCTTTACCTTCCAGTTCAGTCCTCTTGAGCCGCTATTAACAAACAGGGAAGTCAGGGAAGTCATCCGATTATATTTCACCTGCTTGGATTGATTCTTTTCCACAGGAATCCCCTAAAAAAACAATAAGGGAAGTTCTGACCTGTTTCTGCATGGGTACGGTCAGTTTCTTACCTATTGGTCAATCAACAGGAAGCTGAAATAGCTGCCCTTTTGATTGACCAATAGGGGACCACATTAAGCCCAAATAAAATAAAATGATGTGGAATAGCAAAGAATTCTGAGGTAGCTCTTAAATTAACGTATGGCATAAAGAAATATTGATCTTTTCAACAGAAACAGAAGTTCTTGTTATGAGAAATACTTTATTCATGAACTACAAAGCATGTGGATTCACCAATTTGGGGGATTAATGTTTAGCCACAACTTAATGTTATGTTTCACTTGAAGAAAAATAAACAAATAAATTAGAGAGTTTCTTACATAATAGTTTAAATGCATAAATTGTTTTAATAATCCTAAACATCCAAGATGATTACAACTCAGATTTCCCCCAATAAAAACACGATAAGAAAAAACATGGTAAGATCTTAAATCTAAATTTGTATTTTGGAGTCTTTTGGACCAAGAAGAATTTTCAAGCCAGGTTCCTTTACTTATTGATTATATTAAAAAGTTAATATGAGAAATAAAGACATTTATCTTTAAGTGACAGATATGCAAAGCATTTATTAAAATACAGACAAAATGATATGTCACTTCACATTTTACAGCTTTAAAAACTCAGGTCATACTCTACAATTTAAATATCCAGACTGATAGAGTTAACAGAAATCAAAGGTGCTTAGTCTCTTATATTACATTTCAATATTATAGCTTGTTATTTTTTATGTACATACCTGTAACCATTTATCTGTACTTCTTTTTTCACCTGTGTCAGTTATGGTGCCAAAAAGTTATTCATGCTGCTGTAAACTGGCTAAGATCTCTATCAGAGAACCAAAAATAAATACATAAATTAATCCAAAAAAAGAAAAAGAACACATGACATACAGGACACAAAAGCAGCAATTACACACTGTGATGCATTCCACGTAAAACAAGTCAGCCAAAGTAAAACAAGTCTTGAAGAACATCTATCACAGCGGAAACAAAAATGGACCTACCGAAATCGTTATGTTATAACATCATTATAATGTGTTATAACTCATTTATGTATATTAATAATGCAATTGATTTCATTAAGATAATAGAAGTTCAATAGTCTCATATTTTACTAGAAACGACTTTGTGCTTTAAGCCTGAATTAGGCTTTACTCACAATAAAGAACTTTATAAAATAATTCTGTCTGCTTTATAAGTTGTATACTCTTCAAATCATCAACTTCTTTCTTTGTATTTACTCCTTAACGTTAACACAAGTCTTTATATAACTCTCTATTTTTCACTACTCTAAGAAGGTCTGTGCCTGCACAGTTTGTCAAAAAATAGACAAAACACTGGGGGAATAAATAAGACTATTTTCTTATTCTAAAATGACCATTGAATAATAAAAATTAAATGTGATGCCTGTGGGTCCAATGCCTTTCACCCATATCACCAAATAGTTGTAATGGCTGTTTATTTTCAACCGATTTAGAATTTCACATTACAGTGCTAAGGGTTGATTGCAGTAACAGGAAGACTGGCCTGGTCAGTTAAGACCAGGGCATTCAGAATTCGGTGTTGCTGCTCATTGACCGGCCTTCAAATGGGAGCAAAATCAGAGGAAAGTGGGCTAAAAGAGGTTTAATGAAGAGTTAGCCTCAGAGGATTATAAGAACCCAATGGAAAAAAAAATAGATTACTGGGTAATATTACAGAAAAAGGTTAAATTAAGTCTATGTCTAATTTTCATAATTTACAAAGTTATGCATATACATCTTTGGTTAAATAGCCTATTTGAATTACATTAATTCACTGCTGAACTAAATGGCCCTTAGATCTGTAGATTAACTAGTGATTTTGGTTTGACTGGAGAAATATCTTTATCGTTTTTGCATTTTCAAAATAGGGCTCGGACTAGAAGTGGTGTTTCATAGTTCTCAATAACACCTTAAAAAATTGTGGGGGAAAAAAAGTCACGTCATGAAAATCATTTAATATATGGTTTGGTTCTTAGTCTGTGGCTTTGAAGTACAAAATATACAGAAAGTTTAATAAATATCAAATTTACTGTTTATCGTAAACATCTGCCGTGTTCTTTATATAAGGACATTGATATGTTGCAGCTTTTGTTGCTTCAAATTATATCTAAAAGTGTCATGATCTTGGCACTAGTCCTGGTCAGCTTTCACCAGATCCACTGGCACCTCTGACCAGCTCTCAGTCCAGTCACTAGTGGTAGATTATTACGAGCCATCAGTGAATTTAATCCAGCGTTTCTGTATCCTGCCTGCCCGTTTTTGTTCGTTACAAAAAGCGAGTCTTCTGCCTAAAAGATGTCTAAGTCCTCTTTGGATGTCTTGTCACAAAGTAAATCTTTTCAAAATGGTCACAGTTGTGTAGCTTTGTCAGGATAAGCAGCTGGTTTTATAATCATGAATGATTTACAATTAAACTAAAGCGCATAACATAGAATAATCAACATTAAAAAATGGGTATCTTCATAAAAGCGAGTTTTTAGTTGATTGTTTGCTGTGAACAGATAACTGAAGTTACTGGATTTAGTTATAAAATGCTGAGATTCTATAGTGGTCCCTCATTTCTTATATTTTGTAGAATCATCAGTAAAAGCAGGCCTGATCACATGATAGAATTATTATTCTTTTAATCCAGAGGTCTTAATTCATCTTTCATTTTAAGCCTTATTAATGTGTTACTATGACTGGCTCAGTTCAATTAGTTTATCTGAAATTGAAAACAGAATAAAACCTTAATTTTGCTTTGCGTTTAGGTTTCATTTGAAGTGTCCAAGTGTCTTTGGAATGAGAGGGCCTGCGTATGTCCAAAATGTTAGAGAAACCAGCCATTTCCCCATTTAAGCAGTGTCCCCATTGGGGATCTGGGCGTACTGTGGGAGCCCATTGGCCTGGCTTTTGGGAGTTTCACCGTCTTGCAGGCTCGCGGTCGCGAAATCTCGATCTGCCTTTTCCCTGATCAGGTTTCTACGGTGATAAAACAGATACCCCGGGGACAGGAACCCAACCAGGGAGAGGACGAGGAGGCCCACATTGATCTGTCGCAAGGAAAGACGTGTCAGTAGGTGTCGCTAACCTCTTCCAGAGCCGTTCCATCGACTTTATTTGGGTACACATCGTGGTACTTTTGCCTGGGTGTGTATTCGAAATGAATGTGTGATTCGGTGCTCCTCACCCAGTAAGGATCTCCATTCAGATGCCCCACCATCACTACGAACAGTGGTTGTTGGAGCAGCGCAAAAGCGGCACTGATCATAGACTGCAGACCTGTCAGTGTCCCAAAGTGGTTGGCCGGATACCTACAAGACGGGAAAAACGGGAAAGTGTGTATTTAGCAAAAACTGCATTAAATCAATCGAAATATATTGAATTTACAAACCCGAATAAAAGCTCACTTTGAAAATGCTGATTACTGAAATAACCAATTGCAATGCTTCTTACATTTACTGTCAATTTTATATCCTAGCACCACCCTATTCCATAATAAAAAAAAATATTTCAATTATTTATTTATTTTACCCATTTCCACCTTTTTGCAACGTGTTTTAACGACTGAAACAATACATGGTAGTTGTTGTCATCCGTGTAGCCTTGCAGAGCTGCACTGTGGAATGGGTTAATAATGCAAAAGCTAAAAAAAACAACAACGGTTGTTTCATATTAAAACTGCTTAGCATTTGGCATTTCGAGGGGATATGGGACGGTGCAGCACATACTGGGGGAAAAAACTCAAAGAGGCAGGTTCATATTGCCATTCAGACGCTGCTTTCCACATCACAAACTAAATGACTCAGTTCACTGAGAGATATCACCACTCTTTACTGTGTCCAAGCTTCAGCACTAACAATTAAGAGGTCTTAAATCAAAGAATTTATAACTGAAGATGTTGTTCCTGCACCATTAGGGTGGTTGATTGGAATTAAGGGAGGTTTCGGTGCTATCTGCTGATTACCTTAGTTTGGAAATAGTTAGAAAACAATAATTGACTCTGGAGCTATTTGGAATTTAATTATTTGGAATTGCTTGAATCTCTATATATAACAATGACTACAACTCTAATTGGCTTGAACCGCACTGCATCATTTAAATACCACATTTGTTGTGACTTGATGCAATATAGATAATTATCATCCTGCAATATGGTGCTGTGCAGCTAGTTTTCAGTTAACTGTTGTGCGAAAAGGGCCTTTTTAACTTTGAAGGTTTCTTAATATGTACAGAGTTCCAGCAAAGCACATTACTACAATGCAACCAAAATATTAGAATTCTGTCTGTGTTGCATCCATCCTGTACAACAAAGGTCTGTCTTGAGAATGAGATCCCGTGACTCAATAAGATTACCTGTATAAATGATAGTGAAGCAAAGAGACAAGCAAACAGACATAATATGCTTTGTACTCATGATGAGGTGAAGAATCTGGTTCAGGTTTAAGTTTCACTTTGTACCCTGCATTTTGAAATCTAATAAGAATATACATTTTGTGGCACCCTCATGGTGTTACTCACACAGCGGCATACAGGCCACCGCAGCATGAATGGATGAATCCCCTCACAATGGTGTGCAGAACAAATGACAGCACCTGTCAAAGAACGAGAGGGTTAGCAACCAACACACTTATAGAGAATCACCAGTGTGTGATCCTTCCTCTGTGTGTGTGTGTGTGTGTTTATATGGTTAACATGGATAAAAACACATCTTTGTTTCTCTGTAAAGTGGTTCTCTGACCTGTAGGGGCAGGTTGTCAATCAAAGAAATCACTCCGAATCCGACCAAAAGGAGGTTGGTAATGATGAAAGCTCTCATGGAATTGGTCATTTTCTGGATCTTCCTGTCTCTCTTCGGGGTATCTGGCTGGTTGAGAGCTGGACCTTTCGCAGGGTCTTTAACACTGAAGCCCGGGAGGGGGTCAATTTAGAGAAAAGACGAGACAAAAGGAATTATTCAAAGCCAGTTCTGCACAATAAGCTGGTTGTTAGCAAAGCGACACCCAAACCTAGAAAAAAAAAGGACCAGATCCTGTCCTTACCTCTGGCTGGTTTGTGTGGTCGCATTTTCCTCCTCACACTCCTTCATCCTCCAGTCCATAATGTAACCAATCAGAGGACAGGTCACCAGACATAGCAGCTGCAACGTACCAAAAACGGACGAGTAGAAACCAACTAGAAAGGACATGGAAGGTACAATTAATCCCAAATGTCTGTGAGCGGTCAGCAGGACTGAGCACACCTGCCCATAGTCCCGTGTTGTGTCTCTGTGGACTAAATCCCACCAGTTAACACACTTACCTTGCTCCTCCACTTCCTTTTCCAGCTCTTCTGAGGCTGGAAAAAAAAAATCAAAGGCTCATCTTCAACCTCCATCTCTTTTTCTTTAAAACAACTTTAGGTTAGTTTGTTTTGTGAGCCAAACTCATTCGTGCCGGTTTATTTTTCTTACGGTGGGGGTCGCCGTGGGTGACCAGGAACTCCAACATCTTATTCATGGCACCCATGAAGAACATCAACCTCAGCTGGGTGATGGCCGTGGTGACGACGCTCCACAGAAAGATCGGAGAGCACACGGAATGACAGAGCGGCACTGAGGCTGAGGAGAGAGACACAAAAAAGTGTATCAGTCACAGCTGACCTCACAGTGAGGGTTTATTTAGGAGATTTGGCAATATTGCATTTTGGGTGGCAGTTCAACTCCATTAAAGATGTCTAGATTGTATCATATCTCTTGCAATCTTAGGGTATGCTGCACACCACACAACCCTATTTAACCAGTAGTTGCCTTAAAAGAACATTTATCATTTTTTTATTCTTTATCTTAAATTTTTTTTAAATATTATTTTACTTTTTTTTATTTTATTTTTTTTTCATTTTTATTTATTTATTTTATTGAAGTTATTGTTTTATATATTTTTTTATTTTATTTATTTATTTATTTATTTATTTATTTATTTATTTATTTTATTTCATTAAATTTTTTAAAATTATTTTTTAATTTATTTTTAAATTTTTAAATTTTTTTATGAGCACATTTATTTTCATTAGACAGAGCACTGGTAATGATGAGTGGCAAACAAGTTAAAGCTTCATCCAAACATCACTGATGGCAATTGTAATGGGCGGATGTATAATAAATGGTCCATGTCATTACGTGCAATTTCTATATTAATATTTGAATGAACAATTTTTGTGGTTTTTCTACATTAAATACTGACAACATTAGAAGAAATAAAGCAATGTTCCTGCATTGTCTCTCGGCAATCTGTTTGAATGGGACAGTAGTACTGAGGAGTTTACTCAGATAATTAGATGATTACCTTCTTTATCCCGAAGGGAAATCGTTTTGTAGCGTGATTTTTTCAATGATAATCTAAATACTCAGAAATATCAAGAATGATATCTTATAAGATACTATCAAAACTATGAATCATTTACTGTGAGAGACCAGAAAAACTCCTGGTTTCCATATTTGTGTAAAGTAAAAGCTTACAGAAACTACATATTAAGGGGGTGTTCTTTGCAATGGTTTTTTTTTTTTTGCAAGCTGTGTCCTCCCACACAGTCACACCACCCACATGTTCCACAGCGGGCATCAAACATAAAGTTCACCAACAGTTCCCCTTTCTTTTCTGCTTCTTTCTTTTCCCAGATAATATTATTAGAGTTTCCTTTTACATGGTGTGACTGTGGCCATTTCACTATGGCCGTTTATTATTTCTGTGAGCAGATTTAAACAAACATTTCAATATATTTTAAATGTCTGAATTATGTACTTGTATGCCTTAATATTAGGCTGCTTTTTTCTTTTGACCGCAATCATTTACAATCATTATGACAGATGATAACCGAAATCAAGCAAATATGTAAACAGCACTACATTGCAGGTAAACTCAAACTCGTTAACAAAGGCAGGAAAAACTGCTTTAAATAAAAACAAAAGTACCCTTGGATGTATTCTGGGTGTCTCCGTGCCTGGATTCTGGTCGACTTGTTCCCATGGTGGGTTCCATAACAGTTACATGGGAGATATACCTATCCCCAGTCTTTCTATCATCCATCACAATGCGGTTCAGCCTCACCCTTTTACTACTGAGAGAAGAAAAAGACAAAGACAGCGTTGTGATCGACTTATAAAGAGGCTTATAATGGATATTATGCATGATTTTCAACAGTAATGGAGGTTTCCTGCAGAATAGAGAAAAGTGTTAACATCAAACTCATATTAATACTTCATGACTCCTAAAATATACAAAGAGAAAGGACTCAAATTAAACATTTCTGGTCAAATTAAACATGTTAAATTGACATACAAGAATTTTGTGAGATAGATATCAGATTTAAAATGACTGGCACTGAAATTGAATGTCAACCTAATCATGTTGTGTGACAGATTTAGGAATCTGAGTTAAGAAAATAGTGAACTAAATTTAAGCTTAGAAATCTTTATATCTGTCTGAAAACTTTAGACAAGAGGAAAAATAGACAACATCATATTTACCGAACCACAACATTTTTTGCTTTATTCATTTATAACCAGTCTCTATCTCAGAAAAATATGTCAGATGACTCTGATAAAATCATCTCATTTTATTCATTTGGCCTAATTTGATCAATTGAAATACATTTCAATAGTTTTCATAAAAAAGACTCTTTCATGATGAAGCTAAAAGGGACATAGATCATACAAAGAAAGTGGAGAATTGGGCTTCTCTTGTTCTTCTTTGGCTCCTTCTACAGTTGTAGAATGGAACTCCACTGACATGAAACTACTTTGTGGTGTAAATCCTGCACATGCCCAGTCGTACATCATTTCCCTCTGGGATTATTAAAGTATTTGTGATTCTGATTCTGTACGTATTCATTTGTCATCATGCGTAAAGGCCACAATGAGGACAAAAATGTGATGCTACTGTAAAGTGCTGCGATGGTTGGAAACCAAAACACTGTACTGAGGTATATTTGCAACGGTCAGCTCTAAACCTGGAAATGCATATAAAGGTTGGCGTACTTCAAACTACCCAAAGCTTTGATTTAATTTACCTAGTTATTCATGGATCGGCTTTACCTGCATCCACACATTCGAGAATGCTCTGCTAAAATTCTCAAATCTGCTCAATATTCTGCAAATATGTAGTTATTGTTGTTTAGTCATTTTAATTAATGCATTATTATTATACAGGGAAGGATGTTCGACTAAAGTTTGACAGGTACAGACATAAAATGAGAGAGCACCGGCACTGACTTGTATCTGACGTCTTCGGGGGCCGGGAAAGACTCGCCGGGCCAGTTCAGAAAGCAGTTGAGGAAGACCACGCAGGCCAGGCCGGACCAGGTCCACATGATGAGCCGAAAGGACACGCCCAGATCATAAATCAGCTGGAGGATAAAGCGGAATGTGTGGGAGGAAGAAAAAGAACGAGTCAAGGAGGGACAGATGTTTAAATCTTTCATATGTTCAGTTGTTTGTGTTAGATTATCTTTTCTTCCCTTTTTTTCTCCCATTTCACTGCGAAAAAGGAATTTCAAGAAAGTAAAAAAGCCTTGTATCAAGAAAATAAGTCTAATTTTTTGTCCAAAAAGAATATTAATCTTGTCAAGCATGTTTTGCATTGGAAAAATAATCTAATTTTAAGAAAGCACGGCTCACTTTTTCTTAATAAGATATTCCAGCTACTTTTGAGCTAGAATACACCAGTAACAGGATATAAAAATGTTTTACAATAAAACTCAGTGGACCAACAAGATTATTTGCCTCATTTTAAGAGTAAGACCACTTGTACAACTTCTTAATTTAAGAATGCCAAGAAACAAGAAAAATTAAAGGTTGTTTATTTTCATATTGTTGTTTGCCAAATCTTTACCTCTTTTCTACTCTTTGAAAGTCACTGTTCATATATTTCTACCATGGATTATTTCCCTATATTACTTCTATGAGAGGTTTTTGCAATTAAATGTATTTTCACCATTGACTATAATGTCATCATTAACTAAAGTGTAAAAAAAAAGTTTGTTGCGAGGAGACGCTTCTGTTAATTCTTTAAAAACAACACTTTTAAACAGTTTTTTCCGATGTGTCCCCCAAACCTTCTGCTTTTCGGACAGATAATGTGTGTGTGAGGCGAGCACCTTGACCCCGGGAAAGGTGACCGCTGACGAGGCATAAGAGCCAAACATCAGGGAGAGGATGGTTGATCTCACATTCCCGAACATGTTAGGCAGCTGCAAGACAGAGAAACACATTTTAAAAAAGCATTTTTCTTAATCGCCAACATTTTTAACGGGTCAGCCATTTAAATGCTCCGGATGCAGATGCAACAAATCCAACAGGTGGTGCTACAGCTCAACGATTCAAGTTCAGCTCACTGAAACTTGAAATGAACCCCCCCCCCACCTCCCAACAGCCCAAACTGATACACTGCAACTCCTAACCTGCACCTATAGGGTTCTTTCATTGTGTATAAGTGATGTATAGGCGATTGACTAAATGTGTTACGAGAAGGAACATTCTCTGTCCAACAAAATTAAGAAAAAAATTACATATTTTTCAATGCTGATGTTATCATATTGACATCTTTTGTAGTGCATTCTCTGATTTTACTGAGATCAGAAATCTCGGCCTTAATAAGGCCACTGTCAAATTTAGGATTCTCGTCAGGGTTGGACGCGAAACGCAAAGTGAGGTTAAGTATAGCAAAGGGTTGGGCGTAAACTGTTCACGGTTAAGTTTAGGGTTTGGGTTAGGTTTTCCTGGGGTGGGGTGGGGGAGTCTTAATAAGGGTGGCTGTGTGAAGCTGTTGTGGCTGTTTGTTTATGTGTCAGCAGACTTTCCTTCTAACTATAGACGGAGCTGTAACGCTGCCAGTCACACAGAATACGGCTCGCTCCGTTTATCGGACAGTCAAGTTTAGTTTAGAATGATTGTTCATGGACGATAGACGGATGTTGATTTGAGAATTGAATCCGTTACGGTTTACACGCAATTTTTTCTAAATTAGTATCCCCCCAAAAAATCAATAATTCTTTAACTGCAGTTTGTTTTGCAGTTAACATTGATTTGCTGGTGAGAGATATGGCGAGATAACAAAAGGATGTGTGAAGTGTGAGAAGGAAAAGATGTATTCAGGATGGAACTTAATTGATCACTCAAAGTAGCAGCAAAAATGAGAAGTTGGAAATGGCTTTTCTCATCCCTACACAGTCCACCATACCGACCACTGGTTTGGTTTGCCTTTATTTATTTTAAACTTGTTCCTACAGGCTTTCCATTTTAACTCAAAACGATGACTCGTGAAAAATTGTATAAAATCTTTTCAAATCTGTAAGGAACTGGTTTTAACATACTGCTTTGTGATTGTGTTCAAATGAGCTAATAAGCTACTAGCACACACACACACACACACAGGCACACACATATAAGATATTCCTTGTATATGTGTTGCATTTGTGTTTTCATTATCAAAAGAAGAATCAGTTGACTTTGTAAAAATCTTTCGTATCACCCAGAGTGCATATTTTTTCTATGTTCCTGTTTAATTCAATTTCTTTTTTAATCCTCTATTTGATATTTCATCCACAAAACGAATTTTCAAAACATGACATAGATGTATGCACTAGATTCCCAATCAAGATTAGCTATGTAATTCAATATAAACCACCGGAAAAATGTGTCATGTCACCTTTCATGCTCATGTTTTAGAAAATGTAATTTATTTCGCACAAAATGTGTTACAATGGGCATGTGAGAGCACATATTAACATCCTGATATTAAGACAAGAGTAACTTGTTACAGACTTAACCCACTGGACTCAAAGGTTTGTTGACATCATTGGCAAATACTTCTGGGAAGTCCCGGAAATAAAAGGTTTTAGACTCAAAATACTTTTCGGTTCAGGTATCTCTAACCCATTACTCCATTTGCGGTTGGACAAACTGTCCAGGAAATATCATGTGTCTCTATTTAAGCTGTGGAAGTTATGTATAAAGACACCCGTAAGATATATGCCACAACACACACAGACACACACACACACATGCACAAAGTACATACACACAAACACTGGACCAGAAAGGAAACCAGACCAAAACGATCATGTCAAGTTCAGGACATGAGTCTGAGTCAGACGGTGGGAGGGACTGAGAGAGAGAGAGAGAGAGAGAGAGAGAGAGAGAGAGTGTGTGTTGGGTGTGTTGAGCAGCCGGGTTTCTGATTGGACCAGAGGCAGCATCAGAATTTAGAACAAGGGGAACAGCATGCGCCGCTTTCCAAAATACCCTCACGTGCACAGACGGACACACACGAGTCATTCAGAGGTCCAGGAAACTGGACAGGAGGCATTTAATAATAATGTTCAGCTCCTGGCCACGCTGACCTCTAAAGTTTGGGATTTTTCCCGATGAGGTAGATGAAAAAGTGACCTATGTCAGAATACACTTTATAAACTTTAGCCCTGTGAACCCATTCTGATGTAAAACTGTGAACTATTTATTGATTTCCTTCTATTAACAGCAGATGGCTTTCCTTAGACTAATCAGATTTGAAATGTAGGCAAACAGGGTAACTCTGGACTTTATTGGTGCCCCGTGAAACAACGTGCATATGGAGAAAATTTCCACACTAACTGGTCCTTTAGCTCAGCTTTGAACTCGATCATGTCTCTATTTAAGCTGCTAAATGTGTTATCCAGCACATTGTTAGCCTGGTGTTAGCCTATGTGCAGGGTTGTGAAACCCAGCTGCACGGATCGGGTCTTTGTGTGGTGCCGAAAACAGCACAACTGCAATTTCACACAGAACTTTACACTAAAAATGGGTGTGGATGAGTTATTACCTACACAGCTTTGTCAATCAGTTTACTTTCGACATGTTTTGAAATGATATATGTCTCAAATCTCTTTTGAAGACAACTGCCCTCTGGCTAACTGGGATTCCTTTCAGCAACTTTGTCATTTTTTGACAGTGTTGTGACAGTGTGTGCACGTGTGTGTGTGTGTGTAAGTGTATGTGTGTGTGTGAGTGTGAGTCGAACTCTCACTGTAAGTGAGGTGAAGGTCAGGCAGATTCCTCCAAATCCATTGAAGGAGACGGCCAAGAAGATGAGGACGGATAGCACTGATGGATTAAATAAAAAATACTATGAGCTATGAACCAGCTGCCGGCTATCAAAGGCAAGCAGCTTTTTTTTTTTTGTACGATGTGTATTTCTTACTTTATCAGGACAGTTCTAATCTAACTCTGTGTAAGAGGTTTGTCATAGAAGTTGGACTCTGTAGCTCTGTCTCAGATCAAACGGTTTTTGTGTCAAGTGAAGGATTTTTTCTCATCTGATTTCATAATTTGACGGCAGAAATGATTTAGCAAAATGTCTTATCCTTTCACTGGTCACTTCATCTCTCTTTTTAAAGTCCGATCAAACGATATAACACTGTGCTCAACAGTGAAGTGACGGTAAGTGAATAGTTAAAAACAAAACATTGGGGGAAAAATGGAAAAAACCTACAAACATACCACTCTGTTGGCTTTGTATGACAGTGAAAAAAATCATATTGCAGTAGCTGAGCAGGGATCGTTTAAACTGAAGTGTGTTGTCTCACCTTCAGGGTCGTACGCAGCCGCGGCCATCATGGCGCAGGAGGCTGCAAAGCATGAGCTGAAACACACACACGCACGCACGCACACACACACACACACACACACACACACACACACACACACAATATCTGAGTGAGCTTTCAACCCTAAAGAAACTTAAGTCAAAAGTCCAGTTGGCTTCTTTTTTTTTGTAGCCCATCCTACTAGGTCTGCTTGTGAACTATCCCATATGGAACATAAGAGTTAACAAATGTGAACAACTAAACTTGTGCAAATAAAGGAAGTTAGTGTTGGATTGACGTTATGATGGCAGAAAAAGCTATATGAAAAATAAGGAATAACTGAAGTTGGTTATCCACTCACATTTATCTTGATGTTCAATGCTACCCTATAACTGAGGATGTGTTCAACACAAAGCAGCTATCACCATCCCAGAAATCCATAACTGAAGCAATCCATAACCAGCCTTAGGTTATACAGTATGTTGATGATGTTATTTTTCATTTAAAACGTCTTCACATTCTTTTTGGGGGACAGGCCAGTGAAGTGTTGTTTTTTCTTTTTTCTTTCAGTGGTTTTAAAAGTGGTGGCTGAACGGTGTATTTAAAATGTATATATCAATCTATCCATATGTCTCTTATTCATTTATCTTTTTATCTATATCTGCACTTAAGTACTTGACAAAACTTTCACACAATAATTCTTCAATTACATTGTCTTTGGGTATTTTTCGTAGTCGTTACCAGTGGTCTGATGGACTTCTAAAGGTAATAAATGGGGGACGACTCATACCTGCCAATGAGTCTTAGTGGGCGTGGCCCAAATTTGTCCATCAGGATCCCCAGCGGGAAGGTGGCTGCACTCAGGAGGAAGGAGCCAATGGTGAAGCCAAGGTTTAACATCTCCTCCTGCTCCACGCAGCTCCTCCAACCGCTGCTTTCAGGGGAAGTCCCATTTGTGCCAGTGGTCTCATTTTCTGAATCACATCAGAGGAAACAATCCAGGATCATCACAGAGGAAATGAGAACAAGAAATAGGTTTCTTTCTTTTAATCACTGATGCGATAATTATGTGAGCAATGCCATTTTTATAGTACCAAACTAGCATAACATATAGCTCAAAGCAGCTTTGGCGTGGAATCAGGGGACAGCTCAACTGGCTGGACACCTGGACACGGGCTTATGGGCACATACATTTCATTTGCCAGCCTAACCTGACTTATTCTTTCACTTTGCATGAAGGATTGTGGTTAATTCTCCTTTTCTGTTTATTTCCTCTGGGAAATGATGATATTGTTCACTGTAGCCAAATGTGGGTGACCCTTAGCGACCCATACTTTGCTATTTATATGTAAGGTTCCTTACTTATCAGTGGTAAACTGTAATGCATGTCGTTTTCATGGTTAATTTTTTAATATTTGGCTTGGAATAAAGATGCTGTTTTGTTTTAAACTGTAACCAAGTCTCGTACCGAGTGCTAAAAAACCCAGAATGCCCTGTTGTTGTTGTACCAATGACCCAGTATTTCGGAAGCTGGAATTCCCAGTATGCTTTTTCCAGCACTGGTCCCTGCTCCTGGCACACATCGATTGTATGCCCTCACAAGCCTGACTCCCCTTCTCCTTGGGTAACTAAAGTCAGAGAGTCCAGCCCCTCCCCAAAAGTTTGATACCAGAACCCACGCCACAGCATATTCTCTCCCTTTAATTAATTTTCAATTATTTATATTAAAAAGGATCATTTTTATATTTCACTGACCGATACGTCTTGCACAAAATAATTGCATTTCAGTACGGCTGTCAAACGGTCAAACACACAGGACCAAAAGAGAAGAGGGAAATGGTAGTTTTACCGACACAAAGGTGAGAGTAGAAGCCCTCGTTCTTCAGCATGATGAGCAGCGAGCCCCAGCCAAGGAGGACGGCAGAAAAGAGCAAGTTCTCCACGATGGCCGTGATGGCCATCCACCACCTCCTCCGGTAGGCCTGCACCAAGCTGGGAGCCATGACAGCTGTGGGATACAAGGGTCACATTGTATTTGCTAATCCAACATTTAGCAACAGAGACGTCCTCTCTCACAGTCATTTAAAGCCACATAAAACAATTATTTGTTTGTTTTTTTACATTAATATCCTCCTCCAGTGAAAGAATGTAAGTATATCTAATGCTCCT